GTGTGACAAACAAGTATGGTGGATAGCAAGGTGCTAGGTGTGTGATGGGCTGAGGGTGCGGCAAAGGTTGGCTGACACTGAGCTAGGGTTTGAGTGTTGTTTATATAGTCGAGATGGTGATGGGCTTCCATGGGTTAGCGAGCAAGGCCTAATTTATGAAGGCGGACGCCTTATAAATGCTCGTGGCGGACATTTTTTACCGCCTTGGTAAATAAAATGATCGCCTCCATAAATGCATTTTGCGAGACGGTTAATTGTGACTGCCTCTGTAAATAAAAATGTCCGTTTTGGAAAATCCTCAGGCAACTTAAAAGGGCACCGCGTCGCAAAAATTATTTTTTGTAGTAGTGGTAGCGGCTTGCATATAGCGGGTTGGAACTAATTAGCGCTCGCTATTTGGCACAACAAGCTGCTATAGCGGCTATTATTTGACGTAGCAGTCTGCTATAGTGGCCCAAAATATAACTAGTTCATTCTTAATTTATGTTATGTTTGATCATGAATCAACTCTTCGAATACAATTAGATTCTATTTACACTATTTAAGTTATATATGTTTATTAGTCTATCATTCGTTTGTATTTAGTTGATTTGTTAATATGGAAAAAGTCATTTTTTAAGATACACATATACCTATATTATATGAGTTTATCGGATAATGTTATTGGAATTTAACGTCCGCCATAGCGCCCGCTATCCGCTATATATCCGCGATGCAGATGTCAATCAGCAACAGACCCACGATCCGCTATTTGTTACCTTGATCTATACTCACGATTTGTGTTTATCTGGGCTAGAACACTCGTATCGACGATCATAAGAAATTTGAATCCAAGGCATATTGAATCCCATTGCAGCGCAAGATACGTTTGCTAGTCCATATTCAAATTCAAATTTTTATTATATACTAGATACATGCCCGTGCGTTGCACCGGGATCATAATTTTTTGAATTAAACCTTAGTGATCTGACATGGACGCGCGAGCTCCAAGGACTTCCTATCGGACGTAGACACGTGGCTAGTCTTTGTATCGAAACTGGGTATTGTGGCGGTGGGGGTCATCGCTATATTATCGACGCGAGGCCCCTAGGAGCGTACATAGCAACTCCACTTCAGGATCTTTGCATTAAGTTACACACACATACCTGATACAAGGCATACTAAACAACTCAATTACATGCATACTCTAGTCTTCATCACATAGCAAAACTGCTAATGACACTAACATTCTACCTATTTACTGCCTTCAGTCTAGGTTACACCTCATTTCACTCTTCTACTAATCGGGTCACATGTAGCACATATTGGAGGGTTTCCAAGATCTACTAACCGTGGCATTCATCAGAGCTAGCCTCGGAGGAAAACCTCAACTACCTGCAAAACAACTTAACAGCAACGCCGTGAGTACATTTCATACTCGCAGGACTTAATTTCAACATATAGATATTTGGTGGATGCAAAGGGTATTCAATGGGTATTTGTACAATTGCAAAAAGTACATGGCGTTTCTTAGATGACATGCTCATGATCCATTTTAAGGTATTATTCATTAAAGAAGTATGATATCCAAAAGAGTGATTAACACATATACGTCACAACATCATGTTCCATCATTTCTCTACTATGGGAATAGAAAGTAAGAACAACCGAATGGTTCCGCCTCGAGGGACTTTAGGATTTCAAACTCTATAGAGGTGTACAACTATACCCATACGAAAAGAACGGGACTAACCACCATACCCTTGCGCGAGAGTAAGGGCTGCCTCACATCTTCCAACATTTTTCTAATACGGCCCGAATATCCGACGAAAGGTTCGACTGGTGCCCGGTGTCGTGGGATCAGAACCGCGACAAGTATAGTTGTTCAAGTCGGTGTCAGAGTACGGGTCTCTGGTGGCTCGGGTGGACTCAAGAACACAAGAATCACAGAGAGGACGCAATGGTTCATCCTTGTTTGGGCCAATCGATGCCCTATGTCAGCAGTTGATGATCCTTATACTCAAAAGCACCCAAAATCGATGGGTTACAACAGAGTGTAGAGAAAGATTTGGTTGGGGGTTAGCTCGGTGCTAATCCTTAGGTTGTCTCGCCATCGGTGGAGCCTTCCCCTCATCGGAGAGGAGGAAGACGACGGGATGGGGTGGAGGACCTCTCGGTGCCCCTCTCTGTGGGTCCCCCTGCCCTCGATGCTGGGCAAGAGCGGATGGAGTGGCATGGAATGATCTATCTTGGATCATCATCCCCTGTCTAGGTCTGACCTTATCCCTTATATAACGAGATAGGTCGGGTACATGGTGGTTTGGGGAGATAAGTCTAGGGTCTACATGTGCTGGAGTCTAGGAGGGTCATGCAGCGGCGCTCTATGGACCGTGGCGGTGTCATGGAGCCAAAGAAGCCTTGTGCATCGTTCGGCTGCTCTGTTCTGACACTCTGTGTGTTAGGCTGTATCGGCTTGGACCGACCTCCCCCAGGTGGATCTTTTGGAGTCTTCTTGGCGATGAAGGAGGTCGGCTCCAGAGGCTGAAACATGGGCCCGGGAGCCGCTCAGCCCCTGGAGGCCATGGAAGCTTGTGTTCTTGTGTCATGCCCCGTGCGTGACCCTATCGTGGAAGTGGCTGGCAAGGCCATGCCCAGGGCATGGTGTCTTGGAGCCCTTGAGCCTCGATGGCTCTGGGCTTGTCTTCTTGTGTCCGGGCCTTGGCTGGCATCGCAAGCCGGGCAGGAGCCAAGGCCCGAGCTCGGGTGTGTCGTTGGTCGGGAGCTTGAAGCCTAGGCAAGCCCCCGAGCCCTATGTAGGGGTTGCGCCGTGCCTAGGCTCGGCCAGGTTTCTTGGTCGGAGGGTGTGCGCGAGCGTACTCGATGGGTATATCCCCCGAGCCTCTAGGCGATCCTAGAGGGGTCGGTCGGGGGGTCTCTTCGGTTGGGAACCATTAATCCCGAGGCTTAACATACCCATATGTGAGGATCTCGTCAGGAGCCCCCGAGCTCTTCATGGCCTCACTTGGCCTGATTCGTGATGGCGACGAAGGGCTGAATTCGATCTTCTGGTGACCGAACTGGCCATGGCTTCTGCTGACGGGAGCGTGTTGCCCTGCGTGGGTCCTTTGCCCTTAGTGTGATAGGGGCGCTTGGCTATCGGGGCCAAGTGGTAGTGGTGCTGACCCCTTCTCTGTTCCCATGTTGCATAGGTCTACGTCCCGAGCGAGGGTTCAGTGAACTCGTCTGGGAGTTACCGACTTTAGGCCCGGGGCACCCTTCCTTTTGGTCGGGACCTGCCGACGGTCGAGTGATCGAGAGCGTCTAGGCTCTGGCTCGGAGCCACCTGATCACCTGGAACACTACGCCCTTTTAGGGGCTTCGATAGTAGGCCCTGATCCTCTCGGGATGGCCTTCTGGGGCTGACCTTCTGCAGCCATAGGTCGGGGCGTGGGGAGCGCGCCGAGCTCGGGGGACCCTCGTTAGGTCCATCGCTCAGCGGCCCCCGACCCAACTCTAGGGAGTTGGTTGGTTTTGGGGGTGCGCCACTCGAGCCCCCGTCGATCGAGGGGTCGAGCTGCTCCGTCTAGGGAGCCGGCGTAGCCCCCGAGGCCGTCGTGGGGCCTCCTTGTCAGCGGGCGTGGCGGCTTCTGGGCACGTCCCATCCATTGACGTTCTCTGCAAGCGGTTTGATGGCGTATGGGCCGTCGTGCCTGGTGGAGGAGTTAAGGCATACGCTCCTGCGCCGTCCCACCTCGTTTGGGAGATGGGACGTCGGGGCCACGTGAAGCAGATCTGGCGGAGGAGCCGCGGCACTTGGTGCGCGCAGATCCGGGCCATTGATGGCGACTGGTGGGCTCGAGGGGAGTCAAATCCCCTCAAGTCCCATGAGAAGGCGTGCGCGGAGTGGACGGCACGCTTGATGAAAAGTGGAGCCGAGACTTGACTCGTTGTCGATGCCTTTCGGACTCCGTCTTTACTGCGCCACCATCACGCAACATCTCCTCTCCTTATATAGAGAGGTTTACTTGACTTTCAAGCAAGGCTTACTTGACCCTTAAGTAAGCGACCCTTATCTCTAATTATCCTAACACTAATGAGCTATACAGCCAACCCAAGCACAATAGGCCCCTGACGTACTCTAACAATTTCTAAGATAGACAGGCTGCAACTCAATTTTTCCCCTAAAGTACTAGATGTATATGTGCCTGTTTGTCAGACTTCCAGCTTTGATAAAAACTCTGTTTTTAAACTTTCCAGATTAGAAGAAAGGTGCAAGGAGAAGCTGCTCCTCAACCTCGACCCCAAGAAAACCGGATCGTAACGTCTGACCAAGTATCAGGTTCGAATTTGGTGTATTTCCACTTTCTGGTGCTGTATGCAGTATGCTTTGTGTAAATGGTAAGAGTCAACACAATAGCACTTTTCTGAAAAAAATATCTAACAGCAGAGGAAATGGCTAAGCACATCAATCCATATACCATGCTCATAGATGCACAGTCCATGCATTTTGGTGGTTTCTAGGGCCATAGCATAATATTTAGGTTTAACACAATCTGATAATCATCATTTGGACCTGTTTATACATTCCCATATTTAGAATTATGTCTGAATAATTAGCTTTAATTATTTACGAACATATATAGAGTGCTGAAACTTTTTTTCTTTTGCTAGCTGCAGTCATATTAAGTTCAGTATTTCTCCTAGTTAGAAGATAATGAATTCGCTAATTAGGAAGAGGAGGGAAGAGGAGGATGAGGAGATTATGATGTTCTGGTTGCCTGCCCTTTATCTTTTAACTAGTAATGGAGGGATAGAGAAAAGAGCAAGGCATACTTCAAGTCAGTTCGGTGAAGAAAAGCTCAGAAAGATTTTAGAGGGACATCAAAAGAATTGCCTTATTGCGTTCCGCATGGAGCCTAACATATTTAGAGCAATAGCGACATATCTTCGAACAGAACATCTCCTACGTGACACGAGAGGTGTTACAGTAGTAGAGGAGAAACTTACATTTTCTTTACATGATGTCTCACAATGCGAGCTATGAAGATCTACAACATGAATTCCATCATAGTGGAGAAACAATTCACCTGCATACTAAGGCGATTTTCAATGTAATCCCATCTCTGACCTATAGATTTGTCAAGCAAACTACTGGAGTTGAAACTCACTGGAAGATTAGCACAGATCCACGGTTCTTTCCTAACTTTGAAAATTGTTTGGGGGCTATTGATGGAACACATGTTCCTATCACCATTTCTCAAGACCGGCAGGCCCCATATAGGAATAGAAAAGGGTACCTTAAGTCAAAATGTGATGTTGGTGTGTGATTTTGATCTGAATTTTTCGTTTATATCATCTGTCTGGGAGGGATCTGCAACTGATGCTAGGGTTCTTAGGTCAGCCATGCTTAGAGGATTCAATGTGCCTCATGGCAAATATTATCTTGTTGATGGTGGATATGCTAACACGCCATCCTTCCTTGCGCCGTACCGTGGTGTTCGCTACCATTTGAAAGAATTTGGGCGTGGACAGCACAACAACAACAACGTCTTTAAGTCCCAAACAAGTTAGGGTAGGCTAGAGTTGAAACCCAGTAGAAGCAATTAAGGTTCAGGCACGTGAATAGCTGTTTTTCAAGCACTCCTATCTAAGGCTAAGTCTTTGGGTATATTCCATCTTTTCAAGTCTCCTTTTATTGCCTCTACCCAAGTCAACTTCGGTCTTCCTCTGCCTCTCTTCACGTTACTATCCTGGCTTAGGATTCCACTACGCACCGGTGCCTCTGGAGGTCTCCGTTGGACATGTCCAAACCATCTCAACCGGTGTTGGACAAGCTTTTCTTCAATTGGTGCTACCCCTAATCTATCACGTATATCATCGTTCTGAACTCGATCCCTTCTTGTATGACCGCAAATCCAACGCAACGTACGCAATTCCGCGACACTTATCTGTTGAACATGTCGTCTTTTCGTAGGCCAACATTCTGCACCATACAATATAGCAAGTCTAATCGCCGTCCTATAAAACTTGTCTTTTAGCTTCTGTGGTACCCTTTTGTCACATAGGACACCAGATGCTTTGCGCCACTTCATCCACCCTGCTTTGATTCTATGGCTAACATCTTCATCAATATCCCCGTCTCTCTGTAGCATTGATCCCAGATATCGAAATATATTCTTCCTAGGCACTACTTGATCTTCCAAACTAATATCTTCCTCCTATCGAGTAGTAGTGCCGAAGTCACGTCTCATATACTCAGTTTTAGTTCTACTGAGTCTAAAACCTTTGGACTCCAAAGTCTCCCGTCATAACTCCAGTTTCTGATTCACTCCTGTCCGGCTTTCATCAACTAGCTCTACATCGTTCGCGAAAAGCATACACCAAGGGATGTCCCCTTGTACAGGATGATGGGCGTGGACAGCAACGGCCAAGAAATTATAAGGAGTTGTTCATAGGCATGCCATATTGCGGAATCACATAGAGAGAGCAATTGGTGTTCTTAAGAAACGCTTCCCTATCTTAAAAGTTGGAACACATCATCCTATTGAAAACCAAGTGAAGATACCAGCTGCAGCAGTGGTGTTCCATAATCTTATACGGATGCTTAATGGGGATGAGGGTTGGTTGGATCACCAAGGAAGCAACATATCTCCAGAACATTTTATTGATGTCCCTGAAGGTGGCAACCAATACAGTAATGATGTGATGTCCCTTAGCAGTCAAGTAGATGATGGAAACACAGTTAGAGATATGATAGCCCTAAATATGTGGAATGACTACAGTCACAACTCGTCCTAATAAATGTGAGTCTTAACTGGTATCTCATGAAATATTTTGCTTCTGTATTTTCTGTCTTTTAATCCCTGTCAGATTCTTGTATTTGCAGCAACAATGTTTATTTGCAGATTTTTATATTATCCTTAAGTTTGATACCAGATTTTTATATTTGCAGCAACAATGTTTCGAAGAGGGTCCCCAAGGTTCAATTTGATCCAAGCTGCAGCTGTCCAAAGAAAGCCATCTCCAAAGATTTCAAGAGTTCAAAAGAAAAAGGCATCGCCAAAAGGTATGGGCTTTTTCTTGTCCTGTTAAATGCACATATGGGCTTCTCAAGTTCAGTAGGTTGGTAGATTAAAAACATGTAATTATCTGTAGGTTATGTGTGCTTCTCTATTCCAGCTGTACTTGATCGTTCAAGAGCTAGTTGGAATGCAGGACTTAAAAGGGTTTGGTTGAACTACTACATGATCACAACAACGACTGTTATAGGGCTTAGAACGCGTGATCCACAGATGCATGGAACAGAATCTTCAAATTGTTCCATGAGAAGTTCCCCCATGTCAAATTTACAAGGGTTCAAATTCAAGACAAAGAGAAAGAGCTTAAGAGGGAATATAGGGTTCTAAAAGAAGCAAGAAAACAAAGTGGTGCGTCATGGGATGATAAGCTATGCAGGATTATAGGAGATCAAGCTGTTTGGGACAAAATCATTTCTGTGAGATTTCTTGTCTCTTGCTGTTAATTCTTTTTAAATTCTTAAATTTAGTGCTTGCTTTAGTCTCATTTGCTAATTACCTTTCATTCTTGTTTTCATTAAATAGTCTCATCCTAAGGCCAAGAAATTCTAGAATAAATCTTTCCCATTGTTTGAGGCTTTAGGAGAGCTATATGACGGTATGTTACCATTGCTGAATTTTTATTTTCCTACCAGTCAAGCATGTTGTGTTCTGTTCTCCTAAATATTACTTGACGTCACTTTCTGGTGTAGGACAAACTGCCAAGGGAACCCTGAACTTCACCTCCATTGCTCCTTCCCAAGTTCTTGTCACACAGCCTTCCCAAGTTCCTATCACTCAGCCTTCTCAAGTTCCTGTCACTCAGCCTTCTCAAGCTATTGTCACGCAACATTATATAGGAGAAGAAGATGAGAATTTCCCTCTTGACTCTTCTGTACACAATGTTGAAACTGATGATGATGACTTGAGGATATTGGAACAACCAGTTGCAAGTGGTGCCGCTACAAGGTCAAGAATGGGAAAAAGAGTTGCAAGTACAAGAAACAAGGATACCACTACAAGTGACAAAATAGAAAAGGCAGCACAAAGACGTCGACAAGATGGGAAGGTAATTGAGATGATGGGAAGGTTTATAGAAATGAAAGAGAAGCAAGCCGAGGCTGAATCTATGCAGCAGGAAAGGGCAAGAAGTAATCAGCATGAGGATGAGTTTCATATCCCGGTGTGCATTGCTGTTGTGGACAAGATGGAAGATCTGTCAGATGATGAGAAGGTTGTGGCTTATGATGTCTTCAAAGATCCACAAAACAGGGCCATTTTCATGACCGCGAAAGACTCTACACGACTCAAGTGGTTAAGGAAGAAGATTAATTAGAACTGCGTAATCTGGTACCGCTCCTCTTCCATCTTGTTACTGCTTTAGGTTGGCATTTTCCTACTGTGTACTGCATGTTTAAATAAAGCCGTATACTGACATACTAGGAAACCAATTTGCCTTGTGATTTGTGAGGACTGTGACATGACAAGCACATATTTTCAGCAAGGTTCCTTGTGTCACTTCTCTGAACCCTCCTTCCTTGTGTTACTGTGTTGCTATCTATTCTTTGCTAGTCCTATTTAATGTATTTGTGGATCAGCTCCTGCATGTATGGTGTTTTGCCTTAGTCCCTTATTGCAATCAGTTATCAGATAGGTAGCAGTAGTTCCGAAGATTAGTAGAAAATGCAATTTCTGTCTGTTTCTTCAGAAAGTTCAGAGTTTTTCTGTTTCAGTGCAGTTCAGCTGTTCCAGAGCAGCAGCCTTGCATCTTTCTGTGTTGTGTCGCTTTCATAACAGTAAATATTTTAGTCAAGCAATCCTTCACAAATATTTGAAGGATTAATTCATTCCCTATTGTATGAACAAGTGCACTTGCAGTAGTTCTAAATTCCTGGAATTTGCAAGCTTCCTTATTAGCTCTGTTCTCTAGTTTCTGTGCTGCTAGCAGTCAGTTCGCCACAGGAGACATGGAGAGCCCATTAATCTTTTGCCTTGTACTTTTGTTTCAGTTGATGCAGGGAAAAAAGTTCCAATGGAAGTAAGCTGATATACTAGTGTTAGAGCTGTCTCCAAGTGTATCTATTACTGTCAAATACTTGGATGTCTTTTGCTTGGATGTTTCATGTCAAAGAAATTATTCATAGATGGAACACCTAGTAGACTTCAAATTATACCTCTGTAGCAGACTTAGCTATCAAAGTTATATATTACTTGGTGTTGGAGCTGAATGTTGAGATGGTTATGAAAATCAGAGTTGACATGTCAGAGTGTTGATATCAAGAATCAAAGAGATTAATGTTGATTTGTCATGAGAGAACTAGTTGAGACCTTGCAGAGCTCTAGTTTCAGTTACTTGAAATGTTTTAATTTATTCATGCATAGTTTCTGGGATGACCCAATGTGTCATTTAAGGTCATGTATAATATTTCATGTACTGCCATTTGCTCAAGTATGTGCACTGTTTTAGTTTCAGATTCTATTCCATTTTTTATGGTTGGTTTTGAATTTTTTGGGTTAGTATTCAAGATTCTTATTTTTCAAGTTTACATACTTCTTTTTTTACTATTTTACTTGATATAGTACCTTGGTAAAGAACAGAGCCTGTTAAGAGCCAAGCCACCTATATCAGAATTTCTATAATTTCTTGTTTCTAGATCTTTTTCTGATTTGATGATATTATATGGTTGCTGAATTCTTCTAATTATCTTTCTCGTTTCTAGAGTGTATAATATGATCCATACAAACATGTGCATACATGAGAGCCATCGGAGGGGCAGAAGGCAATAAAATACACGCTGAAATCATATCAGCCAAAGGCGTGGGAGGAGATTACACGGAGGGAGGGGATTGGGTGGACGGACAGGGGTCGCCCAATCCACGCGTGGGTCTCTTCACTCGTGGTTAAGTTCCACGTGCAGCCAAATGAAGCCTGAGGCGCGCTAACGGGGATTGAAGGGACGCCTAGCCGGTACCCTAAGGCCTCTTTTAGCCGTCGGTGGCCGATCGGAGGGCTCGGAGCCGTCCTTAGCGCATTGACTGGTGCTATCAAGAGGGGTCCTAGGACGCAGCGCCTTCTATCCCTCCTCTGTCTCCTCTTCTTAGATCCAACTCCTGGTGGCGACGGCGATGGTGAAATACGACGCTTCCCTCCGGGTGAGCCTGGCTCCCTCCGCCGGGCGATCGCGCCCACAAGGGTGGAAGGATTCCAGCGAAGGAGGGGCGATGACACGACGCCAGACGCGTCTGTCGCGTTCCCTCCCTCGCTGAAATCCTTCCTCCCTCTCGGCGACTGAAATCCTTCCTCCCTCCTGACGAAGGCTGGGGCTCAGGCCTGTTAGCGGGGCGACGGTCGACGTCGCCCGGCTTCGGCCCTCAGGGAGGAGCCCCGAGGTCGGCCGTCCAGCCCAAGCCCTTCGCACCGCAGGGCCCCAACCCAGAGGTCAGTCGTGCCCTACGGTCTTTGCCTCCGTATGGGCGGCAGTAGATCATGGTTTTTGCTGCCATATATTGTAATTGGGTCGTTCCCAATTAATGAAATGAAATTACTTTCGTTTGTAATGTCACTACGCACGAGTCATGCTTGGAGACTTAGGTCCCTCATTGGGATGGGCTGTTACGACGATGGCCTCGGTGGCCAAGATCGCCGCGCCCGTGCTGCTAACGGGTAAGTCCATGAGAACCCTCGGTTTACGGTCCCGTGCCCTGGTCATGTCCCCTAGAGGGGAGATCCTCGGCTTCCCGGCCGAGCCACTCGTATAGTTCCCGAACCCGTTTGTCGATGCTCGGGAGCTCGCTGCCTCCCTCGATGGGTCACCACGAGTAGCTCTTGGTCAGTACTCAGACATCGCGCGATGGTCGGCCGGCTTTGCTTTTGAGCGTCCGGCTAAGGCCTCTGGTGCTCGATCACTGGTGTCCCTCGCACTTTAGGTGCCTCGGGTGGCCTTGAAGCCCCTTGGGCTAGCCTTAGAACCTTTTGCGAAGCCCCTTCTGAGGGGCCCCGTGCCAGCGTGCGACTGGGAGATGCGGTCCGATGAAGGATTGGGAGATAGATGTAGCTGCAAACGAATGAAATGAATACAAGAGAAGGGATATGGGACATAGCTGGTAACGCGGCGGCTGGGGCCATTCCATTAGCGCCTTGACGACCTCTCGCCTGCTTCTCCTGCTCTGTTCGTCTGTCCTTGCCTCGCTCAGGGGCCCTGTGCTGCGGTTCACCTTCACGGAGGGCAACAGGTGGTTAGCTCAATCGATCCTTTGGCGTAGCTGAGCTACCGCTGGGGTCGCTCAGGCTTAAGGACACAACAACGAAGTCAAGCGAATCAAGAAGGTCGGGAGGACAGGACTTATCTTGGTTTTGTTGTTGGGGAGGTGGGCCAGCGAAGGAGGTCGGCAGGCGTGTTTTGGCTCGGGAAACGGCGCTTCTGGGCGGATGGCTCCGCGATGGCCTTCCCTCTTGGGGAAAGGTCGGAACTCACCTCGATTGGGTTGACCCCTTCTGGGGAGGGTCGAGCGCCTGGATGGAGGGACCAGCCGAGCCATCGCTGCCGCCAGGAGTCTTGGCCGCCTCGCCGATGCTTGGTTGGTCGAGCACCGCCACTGCTTTGGCAACTCCTTCCGCCGACACCCTTCCTGCATAATGGCCGGGGCTGTCGGGAGCATAGGAAGCGACGAGCACGGCTGCTTGGGCGACGCAGTTCTGCTCGCAGAAGTAGGATTGCTCGAAGCTACCCTTGACGGCCATGAACTTGGCGAAGCACGGTCGACCGAGGAGGGCGTCGTAGACGCCGAGGAAGTCGGCGACCTCGAAGGTGAGTGGCTCCTTGCGGAAGTTGTCTGGCTGGCCAAAGGTGACGTTGAGCCACATGAGCCCGAGGGGCACGACTTCCTTCCCTGGGACTATCCCGTAGAATGGCGCTTTGCTGGGGCGCAGGTCGCTCCACGAGATGCCCATCCTATCGAGGGTGCTGGCGTAGAGTATGTTGAGACCGCTTTACCCGTCCATCAGCACCTTGGTGAGGCGCGTGGTGCCCACGATTGGGCTGACCATGAGCGGGTAGTGCCCCGGGTGTGGAACGCGATCGGGTGATCCTCCTAGTCAAAGGTGATGGTCGTCTAGGACCATCGGAGCCGTGCTAGGGTGGCGAGGGTGTGGATGGCATTCACCTCCTGCTCGGTGATGTGGCACTGTCAGCGAGACTCGTACGCCTAGGAGCCCTCGAAGATCATGAGGTAGCGATTGGCCTCAGGGAACTCGGCTTCTGGGCCTTGCCCTACTGACCGAGGGTGCTACAGATGTAACCCCTATTGGTGGTGCAGCCCTTTAGGAGGTGCTTCGCCTGTCCCCCATGGAATGGGTAGGGGGCCTCGAATGCCCTCTCGAAGTGGTCGGGGCGTGAGCCGCGCCCGTGGGACTGAGGCTTGGCGGCGCAGTCGGCCGCGGCCACCATCTCCTTCCCACGGTGCTTCTGGTCCTTGTTCCTCTTGTCGTGACAACGCTGGGACAAGGCGGGGTCATCGCCGCCATCTCCACCACTGAGGTGGTCGGCGGCCTTGACCTTGCCGCTGAAGTTGGCCTAGACGGCCTCCTCGTCGGTGGCATACTGGGTGGTGACACCTAGGAGCTCCCACGTCATGCGCGGGGTCTCATGGCCAAGCGCGTGGATGAGCACCTCGTAGGTCGTGCCACAGATGAAGGCATTGATCACATCAGCGTCAGTAATGTTGGGAAGCTCATTGCGCTTCTTGGAGAAGCGCTGGATGTACTCCTGAAGGGTCTCATCGGCCCTCTGCCTGCAGTTGCAGAGGTCCCACGAGTTCCCAGGCCAGGTGTACGTGCCTTGGAAGTGCCCAACAAAGACGGAGCAGAGGCCTCCCCAGCAGCGGATGTTGCCGGGCTCGAGTTGCTCAAGCCAAGCCCTAGTCGAGCTCGATAGAAGCAGAGGAAGGTACTAGATGGCGAAGTCGTCGTTGGATCCCCCAGCCCTCATGGCTAGATAGTAGTCCTCAAGCCAATGGTCCAGGTTGGTCTCACCGTCGTACTTGGAGATGTGCGTCGGAGACCGGAATCGCCTGGGGTAGAGGGCCGCCCGGATCGCCGCCCCAAACGCATGAGGGCTGAAGTGACCCATGGCGGTGCCCCCACCCCTCCGCTCGAGAGTGCGGGACTAAGCCTGAGCGTGACACCTGGCCTCGATGGTGTCATGGACGTCGCGGTCATCGCTGATTCGGTGGTGCGCGGGAGGACACCGAGGAGAAGGCTACTGCCTCCGCTCCTATCGAGGCTTAGCGCCCCTGGTCCGTGGATGGCCAAAGCTGCTGTGGGAGGTGTCGCCACCG